GACTAGCCGTGTTATTTTGCATGCCCCTTTGCTGCACAGATACTAAACACAAACCACAGTCAATTCTCCATGATTTGAATGTAGGCCCATTGGTACAGCATTCAACATCTCTAACCGTTATACTATCTGGATAGCAGGTTATTATGGTAGAGAAATAGAAATGCTGTTGGCCTTCTGTTGCAGCTTAAATTGAAGTCTATGACAAGAAAAAAAGATTTAGGAAGAATTTTCATGAGCTCATCTAAAAATCCTATCCTTTCGAAGGTGTTTTTCCATATACTATGTGTTTCACAGTATAACTAGTCTAACGCTCAGCAAGCAATATAAGTGATAATGTGTTAATTCTTTATAACAGTGTAAAGCTGTCAGGTGAATATGACAATTTAGTTTATCAATAGAATTCTCAGAAATGTTGAAAACATCATGGAAATGTGAGGTACATTGCCAAACCTGATAGGGCTTTAACACAAAGGTTGAAATCCTTTATCAGAGCTAGGACAAGTCTTTATTACAACATAAATTTTCATCCAGTGTTAATTATTTCTCCCTCCTTAAATCAAAATTATCTGTGATACCTAGGGTTTTTTTTCTAAATTGGAAGCATTTACAATGTTAATTGGCTAGTCCACAGCACCACCTAGACTTCACTGATTATTTTTTGGGATGAATTAGAGCATTTATCATATATTAGAGATGTTTGACCAGTACAATTTACTCATCGATGTTTGTTGGCTGGCATACAGCTGCAACTCAAAAATTTTGGCTGGGAATCTTTCATGCCAGATGTACTTAACTATTAATTGGCCTTCCACCATGTCATAGAAATGGCCTGTTGAAAAGCCCTAGAATATTAGAATGGTGTGATAAGCCTAGTCCAAATGGTACTAGGTATAATGACTCACCAGCGGCCGAATAGTAAAGTCGCTGAACACTGGTAGTTCGGTCTGAGGTTTGAATCCCACAAACAGGCTGGCTGCATGGGCATTTTCTTGGTTTTCACCATGTGTAACATGTATATAAGCCAGTTTACCTTAGAAAGTCTTCCACGAGCACATCCTCCTCTTAAGCAGATAGCCCTAGAATGCTTTGCCATAATCTCAATAAACTAAATGAATTATATTAGTTATAATAACTTGTGAAGGAAGTTTTGATTTCCTGTTACCACTAACAAAGAAGATATGCCAACCCTCTCAGTATTTAAAAGTAAGTGAATAGCAATCGGCTAATCAAAAATTATGTAGTAATACAAAAATTTGCTAAGTCATGCTAAATAACTGAAGGTACATTAAATGTAACAATATTTAACTATGTAGTTCTATTTTGTGATTTTTCCATAATTTCAAAATGTTGTTTTAAAACTATAGATGACTGATAGTTTGGGGGAAATTTAGTATAATAAAATAAAAGATACATAATGGAACTTAATTATCATGTATTTAATCTATGGTTAAGTTTCATTCATTTGTATTTCAGTCATTTGTTGTGGCCAGAAGCATTTGTTATTAGTTAATGTTCACATTTTTACACGTGCAGGTATAGTTCCTGCCCAGTTTCGACAAAGGTGATGTACCTGAGAGTCTCCTGCCCATCCCCTTGCCACCAAACTACTCAAAGACATTCAGGTTGCCAATATTTTAATTGTACCCATGCCACACACTTAACAAACATCCATGCCTTCTCTATTTTTCAAATACAGGCCCAACAATATAGTAATCTGCATCATTAACTACTATACCAATTAAGGCAGCTCACAATTTTACAGCAATTAATTTTGTAGACATGTACTCTTTTTTTATGCAAGCAAAGTTAATAAATGGAAGTCTGGAAAATATGACTGAAAAATATCTGAAAAGTATGACCAGAAGTCACTGAAGTTCCTAAAATCTTACTATGACAAAATGTTTCATACTACAAGTTTATGCTGTGCAAATAATTTTTATTTTATGTGTGATATCTTTATTATGAATGGAAATATACAAATGAGGTTTTAATGGAAAAAAACTGATGAACTAATAATATATTTTACAACAGCTGCAGTAACCATATAAATCAATGTACTGATTTGAAGGTTGTAAAAAACTTCAGTTTGCTTTTGTGTAAGCATATAAAAAATTAATAAGCAGTAACCAGGGTTGCCGCGCTACCGGGAAAACCGGAAAAAGTCAGAGAATTCGGAAATTGACCAAAAAATTCAGGGAAAAGTCAGGGAATTTAAGTGTTTTAGTCAAAATCTGGAAAAGTCAAGGAATTTCATACAACAATCCCGCCAAAAAAGGCGAATTTTGCACCGACGTTGGAAGAGATAACTTTTTTGGCAAATTGTGTATCATGTGAGTGTCATTCGGGCAGCTGGAATAGAGCCAATTTTTGCAGCTCCAATCTGATTGTCTTTTTAGAAAGGCAAAGCAAGTTTCCCGCAACTTTTGGTTTCCAGCAACCTCGAGAATCACATGTGCAGTGCATGAGCTAAAGAAAGTACCTGTTCTCGTATAAAACAAAATGGGTTTAATCCTAGTATACAGTACCATGAAAGGTTAGAATAAAAAAATATGTATTGTAAAGAAGGAAAACCTCTCTGCAACAGACGTTTCTCCGTTCCATCATAGCGGGAAACGGCGGTGCATGCGCGATATATCTGTCGCCAAAGCACGAAACCGGTGTTGAAGTTCGAAGGTCACGTTATCAAGAGTTCATAAAATGAATATCGTTTAAAATTTCTTTAAACTCTAAAGGAAAAGAAAATATTTTTTGGCGCAAGTAAATTAATTCATGGATTAGCTATTTTGAGGGGAGGGGAAAAAATCTACGAAAATCCGTTTTTAAAATTATTGCGAAAAATTCAAGAAAAAACATTCTTTGATAAAACGTTTCTTCTTGGATTTTTCGCAATAATTTAAAAACGGATTTTCGTAGTTTTCTTTTTTTGTCTAAGAACGTTTCTTCTTAACACGTGTTTCTCAATTTCCTGTACACATCGTGGAGAGGGAAATTCTGGCCGCCAGGTTCCGTCGCCAAATCCCTTGGCAAATTTTCCCTCCGCTTTTTACATAGACGTTCTTTGGTTAGAATAATCTCCATGTATGGTACAGCGGGATTTGGCGACATGATGTTGAGCAGTAAACGGGTCATTTTGTTCTTGGCGACAATTTTCAAAATCATCCGAAGGCCATATCGTATACTAGGATTTTACGGCAAACTCTTTTTTTTTTTTTTTTTTTTCTTTTTAATGAATACCTTGTCATTTTGCAGTAAAATTAAAAAATAGTAATCAATCATCTAGGATAACCATGTAATATAACTATATTCGCTAAAATATCGTTGATTATTCTAATTAAATTTTTAAGTAATTATCTTTATTTTTATGTTATTCATATCATTTAATGTTGCTTCTTCCCTCTAAATTTATTTATCATTAGTAAATAATATTTCCAAATTTCAGGAAATTTTCTCTGGCATAATTCTGAAATTAATTCTAGCAGTATGATGACATCACGAAATTTAATGCACATATTTTTTCCTTATGTATGCTGCGAAATAAATATAAAATACCTCAATTTAGTAAAAAATATCATTAAATAGATTTCTTTCTTTCATTCAGCTGCAGAATGTCTGCAAAAAAAGCCACCTTATTTTATTCCAGATTGGGCAAATTCTAATCTCAAACTTCAGTGGAGAAAACAACTCCTATTATAATAATATTTGTGTTTTCAAGTGTTAAGGTGCCTTTTAAGAATACACCTCACACAAATTAAATTTACCTAAAATCTAACCTAACTTTTAGCATTGCGTTGTTATTTATAAGAACCGGATTAGCCTCGTGTTGAACTGTGGATGATCATGAGTAATAATTAAATAAAACGTACAGTTGTTATCTAATGTATATATCTTAAATTTTATTAAGTTTTTTAAGCGGAAAAGTAAACAAAATTATCAAACAAAGTGTACCAAGAATAATTAAGAATAAATGTCCTCTGGGATTTATTGAGTAATTAAGTGAATTTGCTACACAGTACAAGTAATACCATAATTAATTTACCGCTTAGCATAGCCAATGTACATTATGCAGATAAACTGGAATTTTCTTGAAACATACCTGGAAAAGTCAGGGAATTTCATTCTCCTGTTTGAGTGGCAACCCTGAGTAACTAAGCAAACATAAATAAGTTGATGACTTTATTTCAAAATGTAGATTGTAAGTTGGGTGAAAAATTTTTAAAGCAGTGTTGTTAAGTCAATAGAATTATTTGCATTGATTAGAATGTTATAAATTGAATCAATAATAAGCAGTACACAAAATACTGCAGTTGGTTTGTCTTTAAAAGTGCACAAGAATTTGCTGCAGAGTTGATGTTAGTTGATGACTAAAAATAAATGAATGCAATTTGATAGTGCTGTTGAATTTTGTTTGAAAATTTGCCTTTGGCAATCAAAATTTTATATTTAATAATTTTTCAGAATTATTTATAGGGTTATGTAGCTAACTTTAAACTGGTGTTATTCTTTTTACTTCCTCGTATGAAGTAAAGGAAGTATTGTAATCATGAAAAATGTCGGCTATCGTATTTCAACGAAAATATCCATTTTGAGTGCTCTCAAATTCATTTGAATATTTTTTTCTGGCATACCATCTGTACTACAGCACTGTTAAATTGTGCTGTATCATTTACTTTCACTAGCATTTTAAAGTGCCAACTGCAGTAAACACATTGAGAGACAGGGTCACAAGTTGAAAGAAGCATGTGACCTATGTGTTGTGCCACATACTTATTTGTTAAAAATTTTAAGGGGGAGCATTTCATTCCCACTTTTTAATATTATTATAGTATTAGAAAACACCAAAAGTAGGCATTTTGAATTCTCTGTACTATATCAGACAACCGATGTGTTAAAGTTTCTACCTGGAATCATGTCTGAAACTCTTTAATATTTCCAAAAATACGATTCAATTTTTTTCTTTTAATTTTATGTGTATATATGTATAAATATATGTATTTTTTAAGGGAACCTCTGAAGTTGCTTGCCTTCGTCTTTTCCTTGATTACCATGGTCTCTCCTTATTATGGAGCTGGATGGCATATCTGACAGATGAGAAATTAAAAGAAAAGGTACGTATTTATATATAATTTTCATTATCCTATTTTCAAGCAGAAACTTATGCAGGTTCTTAAAAAATGCTGAAAATACAAACCTACTATAATTGATATCTACTTTCATTCTATGTACAGTGTGCAGTTTAAAGTGCAAAATTATCCACAAACACTAGACAACTGTTTGACAGTTGTTTTTTTTTTTTTTTTTTTTTTAACCTTTTTAAGAAGGCATACTGATAGTTTTGTGTGATGTTAACACCATGAAACAGTTGATCCTGTGTGCATGGTGCATTTTGTCCTAACCAACAGCGGCAATTTTGTAACTTGTCAAGACTTATGCCCATAAAGGTAAAATTCATCCTTCCCATTTCATTGAACTTTCATAATTATTTTCTAGTTGACATCTACTAGAGCAGTAGGATGTCTAGTGTATTAATTTTTATGGAAGAGCTATTAATAAAAGCTTGCAAAATGAATGCTATAATATTTTATTGAATTTGATTTGTCAATATCTTAGCATTCTCCAAATAAAGAGCAGTGGAAAGATGGGAGCCTTTATGTATGTTGACTAAACCTCAAGATAAAACTTGAATATTTTGCATGTTTCATTTTCATAGATAGAATTCTAGCCTTCTTGAACCCAAACATTTATTTTACTTATATAGATTGCTGATGAAAACCTTATTACAATTATCATTCATTTAAAGTGGTCAGACCAGTGATTGGACATTGTATTTAATGCCAAGAAGAAATTTCAACTAGATGTGCTAGATTTTAGTAGACTCATGAAATAAAGTAGCATTTTGCTGGAATTTATGTGATTTGATTTTGCTTTTGTTTTGTTTTAACCAACTTATAAATACCAAAACTGAATATAGAGGAATACCATAAAATGCTGGAACTGTTATAGGAAAGATAAAACTATATGGACCAATCTATATATTTGATAGGACGATGCCTTTTTGGCATTCTGCTTCTATTCAGTCTCACAGTTGTGATATTTAGGACCTCCAGTAAATATCTGGACTAATTTAGTCTAATAAGAATTGCGAGAAATAAATTAAAATTTCTTTTTTAGGTCAAAAACACCACAGTATTTTTAGTGTTTTTTGACCTAAGCCTCTGCCATTCCAACAAACTTTCTTATATAGCCATGAACTTCTATATTCCTTTAGTGCAGAATTCTTTTGGCTGCCGCCTAAATCATTAGAGAATAATTTGGATCATCCATGTGAAACATTTCTTTGAAATGCTGTTATAGAGGCTTTAAAAAGCAAAAAACTTTCAGACCCAAGTCAAGAAATGGGTATGGCATTGCCTCTTAATGCATTTCAAAATGTTCAGTCTCACCCTGTTCATATGTAAGACTTCCAATAAATATTTGGACTGATTAAATTTCCTAAGAATGTGAGAAATAAATTGAAATTACCTGCATTATTTTTTGGCTTAAGCCAGTGCCATTGCAACTGACTTTCCATATTTAGCTATTGAACCGTTAGAGAAAAACTTCAATAATTTCACCATCCATATGAAACATTTCTTTGAGGTGCTGTTATAAAGGCTTAAAATGTTAAAAATCTTTCGGAACTGAGTCAAGGAATGGGTATGGCAATGCCTTCTAATGCAGCTGGACAGTAAGTCTTAGAATTTTGGCAGCAGTTTGATCTCCTGTTTTGTCACTTGCAGCCTAGATGGTATAGTGGTTAATAATGCTGACTGTCATTTGATGAGACCCAGGTCCAAATCCTAGAGAAAATGTGTATGTTTGTAAATGTATAGTGCCTGTGCGGCAAGGGGCACTCATAATTCACTGCAGGCCGAAAGTCCTTGAATGGTAGACAAAGAGGGGTGGAAGATCCTCAGACTGCCTCCCAAGCAGTTCTCCCTCAAAACTGGGCTGAAGCTGTACAGTTAGTGCATGGGACATCTTAGTACCTCTGGTGCTTGTTGTATATACAGTATATAACTTCATATTATATACTGTATATTAACTGAATTATAACTCCAACAACTGTACTGGTGTTTCGACACTAACTGGGTCAGATAGGTGAAGTGCAACTAACTTTCAGCACATATCAGTCTTGCCAATGTCAGGCATTCATGTCCATTTCCATTCTGATTGGCATCTCTTTCCTAGCAAGCAGCATTGGTAGCAACAGCCAGACTTCTGTTACAAATTATGCTGGTTATGATTTTACTTCTCATTGTAACCTATGTTGCTTAACATAAAATTTGCGTAAACCTCTAGACTGAGCAGGTACATGATGAAATGAGACAAAAAAAAAAGTGTTGGTAAACTTTAAACATCACTTATCTTCTTTAAAATATATGGGACTGTTATAAGCATAAATTTTACAAACATGATTTTATTGTCAAATTTGTTTTAATATTATGTATTAGATTATATTTCATAATAATGTTTCCTGCTTAGATTTAATTTATTCTTAGAATGTTACTATGAAAGTGAAGTTCAGTTATATATAATTGCTTTCGTTTATTCAGGTCCCTTTGCTGGTAGGTCCTTAATGTTTTTTTTTTTTTTAATTTAATTCAATTTTTATTATTATTATTATTATTAAAGATCCTTAAAAGTACTTAATGTCAATATGCAGAGATGTGTATGAACTTTGTTACAGAGTTTAAACACTGATAAGTAAATGTGTAGCTGGGGTTCTCAACCAGTGGGTCCATAGTTTTAGGGGGAAATGTGGTCAATCTTTAATTTACCTGTTAAATATTTAGTTTTAGTTTATGAACATAAAAACCTATGTTTATTCAAGTTTTGGCATTTATCAACATTTTCAATGCTTTTATGTTTAAAATATAAAATGCATTTAAAAGTAATCAAAATTTAAATGTCTTCCTTTGGTTTATTTGATTATGGCAAAGCATTCAAGGGCTATCTGGATAAAGGGAGGGATGCCTTCATGGAGGACTTAAGGGCAATTATCTTGTATACCAATTACACATGGAGAAAATCACAAAAATACCCATGCAGCCAGCCGTAGATTCGAACCCCAATTCAAACTACCAGTGTTCAGCGATGTATATGTTTTTTTTTTTTTTTTTTTAATTTTATTTTAGAAAAGGGAGGATAATCAGCTAATAGTTGTGAAAGGGGTGCATGGGCAAAAAAGGTTGAGAACGACTGATTTATAGACATTCTGCTGTAGAATGTTGGTCCAAATTTTTCGAGGCATAGGTTATTTAGGATTCGTATGGCCGCTGAGAGTCCTTAAAAGTCCTTAGGTTTTTTAAAATCGATTTTTGGTCCTTTAAGGTCCTTAATTTCGACCAAATTAGGCAAGAGGCCCTTAATTTTAATCATAAGAAGTTTCTGACCATTATTACGACTGCCATTTTGAATGTGAATTAGCATTTTGGACAAATATTTTTGGCGATTTATTGATAAATTATAGTTATCATTTGAATGAGTGAGTAGGTTCATGGATTATAATTTGTTGCTATTTCTAGTATAAACAATGGGGCACTCAAGTTTCTGAGCAAGAAGTGAAACATAAGCATTTCAAAATTATTTCATTTTTTCTAATGAACAGGCTCTTAAACAACATTTCACCTTTGGAAATGTGAATTCTTTATTAAAAGGTTACAAAATTTGGCAACTTATCAACATTTTCACCATTAATTAATCATCTTATTAAAATAATGCTAGTGTTTTAATAAGATTGTAAATTGTTTTCAAGAAATAACTTTAAAATGAAACAATTAAATTTTTCCATATCATATTATACTGTGAGATTACTTTTCATTTTCGTGACTTATACTGAACTAGGTAATAAATCCTTAAGTTGCACTTTAGCGCAGTTTACGAAACAATTCTTAGCAAAAGCAAAATAGCTTTGTAATTAATTAAAAATGCCTTTGTTTTGATTTTTTTCATGGTTAAGAGTTTTTCCTATGTGATTGTCGGAATATGCATCAGTTTTCTCTACAAAATTAAATTTTCACTTTTTTCCTCTTAATTTTTTTTTTCCAACGTATTTCTGGCTTTTTGCTGATACAGAATTGGTAGGAGTAAGTTTTCTTTAGGATTTTAAACATTGCGACTTGAAAAGTTTAGAAGGATTTGAAGGCAAGATTTATAGACCCACAAATCTAGAGATTCCAGAAAAATGTCTTCATGGGATCAACATGATATCAAAATTCAATCATGTAAATTTATTGTGCGCAAATTAAAATGAAATTGTAAATTAGGAATCTGTATTTGCATCTTGATTAATACAGAAAATTTAAAATAAATTTGAAATATGTATATTTGTTTCAGTTAATTAAATTATGATTGTTAATATGATTTTCGGAAGAACAATGAAAACATAATATTTGAATGTTTTACTTCTGATACTAGAAGTCTTTTTCATAACATGTTTATCTTCCTTTTGTTTTATCTAATTTTTACTAGACACAAACATGGAAAATATCAAAGTTGCTTCTAATCACATGAGCAGGCATTTATAGAAGGGGATTTTTCTGTTACTAAAGAAATTAAAAACTGACAATTTAAAAGATTCATCTTATCTCATCTTGTCTCAATGCATCATCAGTGACATAGCATGCAGTAAGGGGGAACATCTGTCCCCTGGCACAGATCCATGGGGTGCCAAATAGATGTTACAAAATTTTAGAATGAAGTGTTTTTCATTCTTGCCATATAGAAGGAGGCACAAAATCTTCAGCTGTTTCCTGGCACTGAAAACCTTAACTTCCGCTCTGTGCATCATACACAAAGCTGGCACAATACATTTTCTCACTTGATGCACTCTCTGTGTATCCTAAATTCTACTGCCTAATGGCTTCCTAAATTCTAAGATTTTGCCATTTCTAGATTTTGTCGCTCGGTGTGTCTTTAAATTTTAAAAATTCTGTTACACCGGCCCTTACCATATATCATTTCATATTAATTCTGAGTGTTCATATTACTAAAGAAGTAAAATTAGCACCTTTTCCTATACATTCTAAATACATTTAGTTTTTTAGAATAACAGAAATCTTTAATTAAATCCAAAAATTCTAAAGTTAAGGGGAAACATATTGAAAAAAGAAACCGAATACATAAAGAGCAAGAAAATTATTTGTCAGAGATGTACAGTTATTATTATGTAAATTAGGCAGTTTTTAATAATTTCAGCCTGCTATAATCTTCCCTTTTGATTTCCTCACCAGAATGAAATTCACTTAGATAGTTTCTCAAGTAAGGTTTGGGGTTGTAAGACAGAATTTGTTTCTGGCCTCTACTTGCACGCCTCATTAGTTCATACCAGCTCTGGTAATTTGTAATTATTATTATTTGTATTATCAGTGCCGATATTTGAATTTGTTATGCTATAACTATGTTACGACATGTTACTTAGATTAAAATTAAACAGTGCAGTCTTTGACTACTAGTCCACATTTTTACTTCGAATTTGACTAATCCTGTTTAATTGGATCACCATAACCTGCAGTTGATTTTGCTAGCATGAGAACATGCTTTTATATTCTAAGGTCTTTTTAAATAAGAGGTTTATTTAAATCTTTATCTGACTTTGTAGTTACTTTCAGACACAGCAATAATTTGCTTCATGTCTGTCAGTGGTTTTGGACGCTTTAACTTTTATCAGATCAAGTAAACCCTCATAGGTACATAGTCGAGAGATTCACAAGTTAGAAGATAAAGCACACAGAAACTATCGAGAGCAATGGTTTGCATTTAAGACAAATCTCTAATTGTTAGAAAAAATTCTTAAAGAGAAGGAAATCTATATGAACTAGCCAAAATGTTTGGGCAGGCTTTAAATTAAAATGATGGATAAATATTTTGTTGAGTATTGTTGCTATAAAACGTGAAAGTGTTGTAGCTTTTAATGTGTATGTATCTTAATATCATTTAAGAATCAATGTTATAAATTGCATGTATTTTAAATTGTGACATGTTAATAGATTGTCATTTTAATAGTGCTTTTTAACAAATATAAGAAAACAGTACATTTAATAGTGGCGATGTAAATCTGTAATGACTAAGGGTATCTAACTAGCTAATTTAATAATTTGTAACTAATTGATCACCCTTAAAAGTTATCTCTGCATATTAAAGTGAGTAATTGCTTTTCAATAATCTTTATCGTGGTCACAAGATACTGCACAAAAATGTAAAAATTAATGTAAAACTTAATTCTTTGCATCTAGTGAGACTTAAAATTATATAAAACAACTTATCACCTATGGTGCTTTAGTGGTTCATTGGAACCTTAAAATATTTAACTGAGTTACAACTCCAGGAACTTTACACAAAATTGTGACACTAACTGTTTCAAACAGGCAGAGCACAAGTAAATTTCAAAACTTGCCAACTGTGCTGACATCGGACTTTCAGGTTTGTTCTGAACACAGGGCTCTCTGTAGGCAAGCAGCAGCACAGGCAACAGTCAGTCTTCTTAACGAATCATGCTGATTATAATTATTCCCATTTTAACCTATGCTGTTTGACATAAAATCTACCTACTATTTACTAAACCTCTAAACTGAGCAAGTACATGACAAAATGAGACATAAAATAAAAGTCAACATAAAGCTAACTGTTAGTAAAACATAAAAAAAAGTCACTTATCTTCTTTCAAATATGTATTCATCTGGGAAAGCACTTATTTCTAATGACGATATAGCAATGCTTTCATCAGTAATTTCGATTTTTCTCTTTCTTTTTCTTGTAGATTTTAAGGGTTCTGAAGTTGCTTCCAGTGCCAAATAAGACTTTACTCCTAGATAGTAAAGTTATGAATGTAATCGAAAAATGGGCATCTCCTGTACCTAATATTGGAGAAGGTGATTATCATTCTGCTGACCTGAGTGATTATCCAGCCCATAAAGAATTAACTGTATATCCAAAGAAAGTGAAATCCTGTGATACATCTGATAGTGAACCTGATGGCATTGCTTGTGTTCAGCCTTCAGAATCATGCTTTATTTCATCGAATTTATCTCAGAGTACTGAAGTTAAATCAAATAATATTGTTAGTGCATCAAATCTGAACAATGTTTTTGAACTTCACAGAGGTGTGACTGGATCAAATGTTCAAGAAAGTACAATTACAAATGGATTCAAAAATAATATTGCAGACAGTTCTCGTTCTGATGAAGACAGTGCTGATGTGCCTGATGAAAGAGATACTATAAAATTTAATAAAACCAGTGTGGAATTGTCAACATTAGCTCGCAGTTTACTTGATTCATGGAAAGACTTGAAGGTTAATTTCATTTCTTATCAGTTTTTTAAGTATATTGTTCTTTGTAACTTCTATCTGATATGTATTATTACTGTAAAGTATTCATCTTGTAGCCATTGTTTGTATATTTTTTAATAGTTTACTATTTTGTAGTTGAAAAATGTCTCTGTTAAGAAGAATATGACTGATGTTGAAGAATAAAATCATTATATTTACTTTGCACCTAAACTCGATCTCTTCCTATATAAACTTTCCGAAATTCAAATTTTTTTCTGGCTGAAAATGAGTTTGCTAATACATCATATAAAAATCTTTTAAAAATGAGAAAAAAATCCCTTTTTTAAAAAAACACGTCTGTCTTCTGTGTGAATAACAAATTTTTATCCCTACTATTCTCATGATTTAAGAATCATCTACAGCCAATTTATGGCCATTTACTGTCTCAGGCAGCACTTCCCATTTTGACACATCCAATGCCACTGTCCTCTACCTAGTGACACCAGCATTCTTTAGCCACTTTTCTGCATTGTCTAGCAGCTTCGTTTGTGGTCTTCCTGTCCTTTTTCTCTCTGGCTTTTGGAATGTCAATTTCTTCACTGGGCATTCATCTTCATATCTATAGGTATGGCCTAGCTATATTAGTTGTGAGGCTTTAAACTTTTATTATATTTGGTCTTTAAGTTTCTGCTTTACTTCAAAATTATATTTTATTCTCCACACTCCATTTTCCCTTACTGCTTCAAAGTTTTGTTCAAATGTCATCACTCTATCGTTATCTTTTTTTTTTTTTTTTCATTGTCCAGCACTTACTTCCATACAACACAATAGGTCTAACTAAGGTCTTATACAACTGTATTTTAGTTTTACTGCTTAAGTATTTTGATTTAACCTGATTTTGTGATCATAATAGAATCTGTTAGCCATGTTAACTCGGTTCTTGATTTGAATACTTGTATTATTAGTATTTATAGTTGTACCCAAATATTTAAATTGTTCGACCTCCTCAAAAACAGTCATTTATTTTCAACAGTATTAGGTTATGTCTTCTCTTTGTGACTGTCATGAACTTAATTTTTTCTTCATTGACTGTCAAACGAATATTTTTTGCTTTTGAAACAAGCACACAAAATGCCTCAACTGTTGCCACCTTCACTCTTCCCACAATGTCAGTGTCGTCACCAAAGGCCAACAGGTGCACAGATTTTTATATAGTCTTCTGTGTTTGTATGCCTGAATCTCGTATTGCTTTTTAAAGGATGACATTAAACAGCTGGAAGGAAAGAGAATCTCTTTGCTTTAGTCTTTTTTTCAGTATAAAAGAAATCTGGTGGTTCATTTCTCAGTTTTACTCAATTGAGAGCACAACTCTCCTAAGGGTCATCTTAACCAGATTCACCAATTTTTCAGGTATTCCTAACTCCAACATCGCCTGAAACAATTTCTCCCTGTTATTGCTATCACAAGCAGTTGTAAAATCAATGAAAAGGTTGTACGTATCTCTATCATATTCTTTGGTCTTTTGGAGTATTTGCCTAATATTGTGTGTTTGATCTTGTAGTAGATCTATCTAAACTTTGAAGTCTGCACTGGTATTCTGCATTTTTTTAAGCAGCTAGCTGTTCTGATAGCATGTGTGAGAATATCTTATGTACTCAACAGTATAATTCTTCTGTAGTTCTTACACTCCAGCTTATCTCCTTTTTTTATTGGCCATATAGAACGATATTCCCATTCCGTGGGCACTTTTTCCAGAGTCCAAATATTGGAGACAAAAGAATGTATTTGTTTAGTTAGTTTAGACTCGTTTATATTTAAGACCTTAGCCTTGATACCATCCAATCCTGCCAAACTGTTATTGTTTAAATTATTCATTGCTCTTTCTACTTTATCCACAGATGGTGGTTCTGGGTTTTTACCTTGATGGCTCTGAAAAGTGTCACTTGATTCATCTTCCAATTCATCCAAAGTATCTTTTCCATCAAGAGCAGTCTTGAAATGTTCTCTCCATCTCCTAAGTATTTCAGTTTTGTCATTAATAAGTTCACTGGTTTTATCATGGCATGTTTTTTTCATAGCACAGAAATCTTTTCTGATATTGTTTATTACATTATAAAACTTTCTATCCTCTTTCCGGTTTTTGAAAAATTCTATTTCCTCATAACCAGAACCCAATATGCTCTCTTCTTCATTTTGAATAATTCTTTTTTCCTTTCTTCTAATGTCTGTGTACTCATCCTGAGCATTTCTTACAATTTTTTTGCACCATACGGTACACATGGTTTTCGTTTTGTTTTTCAGTCTTCTAAATTTCTGTGCATTCATCCGCAGCATTTCTTATTATGGTTTTGTACCATAAGATGGTACACATAGTTTTTGTTTTGTTTATTTCACATTCTTCATCATACAAGCCCTTTGCTTCCTCTCCCTCTTTTTAGCCCAAAGGGGCATTAGCTCAGAATGGCTATTAAGTTCATTTTGTCATTTTGTGTTGATTCACTTTTCAAACTTTTGCCTGCAAATATTACAGCTCTGTGTTATATTTAAAGAAATTTAATAATGAAGAATCTGCATAACAATTTCAAAGCGAGCAATGGCAACACTGTACGAAAAAAACATTTTTATCCCCAGAGTGTAAGACTGTGTGTCAGAAATTCTAAAGGTATGCTCATTTTAAAATTATTATTGGTGTTGAATTGAATTTTATGGTTTAAGTGTGAAGAACATGATATTTAATAAATAAAGGTAACACAGAAAATGTTTAAAAAAAAAAAACCCTTTGGCCGTAATGTAAAATGTGAAAGCAATCGTTTTTTTTTTTAATTTGTTTTGTTTTGTTTTGTTTGTTGTTGTTGTTGTTAAGGGCTGGAAGCACTTCCTTAGCTTCCTTAGCTAAGTTTTTCCCGCCTGCGATCCTCATTATTCTCATTCTCAGTCATTACAAGTTTTTCCTCTATTTTTTTATTTGTATACATAGTAATAATCTTAGGAGTTCTTAAGGCATCCATGTCCAAGATTTCTTCCTTTTGGTCTTTATATATTTATATCTGTATATATGTATATAGATAACTAATATAATAACATTTTGAAATTCTGCCTCTTACTTTTGAAATGGCCAGAGACTGGTAGTCCCTTGATAATGAATCAAGAGAATATTTCGTAAAATAATTGTGTTTGATGCAGTTTATTTCAGTGTTTTATATGATGGATGATAGAAGTCTGCTTGTAGCATTTTTGTTTTGAACTCCATGTTATTGTTTTAAAATTGTAATAAAAAATGTATTTTATTAAAAGGTCTGTAAAAATTTAATTTCTTAAAAACAAGTATAACAGAAATTAAAGATTTAATGCATAATTGTATATCCCATTCTGGAAATTATTGCAGCTACAAGAAATAATGAGAACTTCTTTATTATTAATTTACTTTTAAAAATGTATTATTTTTCAAGCAAGTCTTGTATACTAATTTAGGTATGTATTTTTTAAAATGTCTGTATTTTACTATGTACCTAAGTTCTCCAGTAGCCAGTGTAAACTTTTATTTAACATGGATAAGATTTTTTGGTCACCTAATGAAGTATATTTTGATGTGAATCATACATATTGTACTCAATATCTGTATAAAATGCCATTTTTCTTTTAATATTATCCTAACTAGCTGCTATTTGCATGTGTTGAGAATTATAACATGGTATGCAACCAACTTGCATAGGTTCTAGAAATCAAAATTGGAACAGGCTTCATATTCTGCTGTTCTGAAATTATGAAAATTGTTTTTTGAATACTGGAACTTTTTTCTGACCATAAATGAATTGGTTATTTGCAGGTAGTCTGTAGTTTCATAATGATAATTGTAAAAAATTGAAAAGGATAAACATACATTAGTAAAATCTTTGATGTATAACAGTCTACCCCATTTTTAATTAAAAAATAGTTAACTAAACTGTTTTCATTTTTTCTTGATAATTTTTTCTTTTATCTGGTGTCAGTTTTTTTGGGGGGGTGGTATATGCTGCCCTAAACTTTAATTGCAATGTCTCGCATTCTAATTTATACTTTAAATTTTATTTGAAGATGGACATTTTCAGTATGTGAATGGGATTTTTAATTTGTTCTGGATATTTTGAGCCATATTTTTTACAATGAAGTAAGGGAAAATGCTGCGTGATGTACATTTTAAATATTCTTTTGAGATATGCATTTTTACTGAGTAAAGGGTACTCTTAAGTGATTAATTCTCTATCTTGTGAGTAACTTGGAGGCGTGTTTTCCACAGTGGTAACAAGAAACACTGCATGATGTTTATATTGTAATTTTACAACTGCTTCGGTTTTAATAAAACACAATTATATATAGTGTATTTATACCTATGACGAAAATCCATGTACTTTGTAGATGAAATTCAAAGAAGCTGACTTAATTTTCTGCTTTTACTTGGTAACGCGGTTTACCTTCCACTCTGAAGTAGAATTAAGGCCACCACTGAGTAATTTTAAATTATCATTAGGAAAAATCCTTATTGTGATTTACACATGTAAATAATTTAATGTTTATTTCAATTGCATTGGGATTCTTTTGAACCATGTGTGTGTGGCTATTAAGTTAAACGAACTGATGAAGACTAAACACACAAGAGCTATAACAGGAGGCATGGTTGCATTGAGAACTTAAAAATAAAAAAATAAAATAAAAAAAACTTTCTTTATATTACACATGAAGAAAACCATGAAAACCTTCCTATGTAGCCAGACCATTCATCAGGATTCGAACCTGGTTTGAACTACTAACATTCAGTGATCTTACTGCTTGGCTGGCAAGTGTCCATATCACATGTGACATCTTTTATGAATTTATTCTGAGAAATATGCATAGAGGAGAGGGTATAACATGATTTTATTGAAGTAAAATAATTTGGAATGGAATAAAATTTTTAAAATAAAAAGATTTTCTAAACTTGTATCCATATAAGGAACTCTGGTTTTGAGAATTTTCTATTTTAGCAACATTTGCTCTGAATTCTTGTC